ATATGATAAAGGGCATGAATGAACATCCAGATGAAAGAGACGCATAGAGCAAAGTATGCGGGAAGGGGCACAGAGCTTCCATCCCTCTCCCTGGGCATCACATACCACCCACCCCCTGTACCTCCACGTGTTCACCAAGCCAGAAGTTCTCTGAACCCCACACTTTGAGGATTTTTATGGAGGCTTCCTCATGTAGGTACCATCAATCATGAGCTCCATTTCCAGCTCCTCTCCCCTCTCTGGAGAATGGGGGAGTAGGGCTGAAAACGTGCAGCTTCTAATCAAGGCTTGGTCTTTCTGGTGACCAGCCCCTATCCGGGAGCCCACCAAGAGTCCTCCCATTAGAACAAAAGATACTGTGAACACCCAGGAAATTCCAAGAGATTTAGGAACTCTGTGCCAGGAACCGGGGGCAGAGACTAATATATATTTTTTCTATTATCTCACAGCAAGTGACATACATAAGATCACACAAATTTTTGGCGACCCAATCCAGGTCTTAAGAGAATATAGTAAATGGGAAGTAGAGCTACAAAGATTTTTGAATGAAGGCCATCTCGATTAGTGGCTCACAGGCACATATGAGACATCTTATCTGGTTCTTACAACCCACACTCGACAGCACTTGGAAGAGATAAAAACGTGTTCCTGCAGATCCGCTCACAAGAGCCCGCCCCACCTGTCGGCCTTCAGTACCTACATGAGGATGGCTGCTTCAGCCTCCCACATCCCCTGAAACCCTCTGAGGCACAAAGGAATCACTGCCAGCCTCCCTCTCCCATTGTGCCCCTGCCATCGCGCAGGCGGCTTTCAGGGAGAATGACGGCCATGGCAGTTGGAGGACTTGCAATGCTTTAAACAAATGGGGGAAGGAGGGAGAACCATACAAAAGCAATTGCAGGCCTGTTGACCAGCGAAGGCTTAATGGGCTTAGAGAGAAAGAGCAGGAAGTCTGTGCTTTCACTCTCACTTGTCAGCATCGTGCTGAAGAGTCTCGATGGATAAAGATTCTGGTTTGTCACCCTTGTTTTGTTGTCCATGCACCCTGATTCTTTTTATGAGGAATTTGACGGGAGAGGAAAAGTAAGTCATCAGTGGGGGCCCTCGCCATCAGCAATGTCAGTTATTGAGTTGGAGGCGCATTGTTTAGGCATTAGGAGTTCAGAGGGCAAGTCTCTTTGACTGGTTATTACAACTCTGGCCCAGAATGCTCTGGATATCTAAAACTATTAACTGAGATTTCATAACCAAATTATTTCTAATGGACCTCATAATGATCTATGACTACAAAGATGGAAACAACTTGCTTTGCAAGAAGCATGATTTTGAATTCCACCTAAAACAGTAGTCCTGTCCCATGAGTAGTTCTGTTCAATGAGATGTCACAAGAAAATGATCCCAGCCAGGGCTGCTAAAGAACTGCTGTTACTTTAAAGCTACGAGTTCTAAATTTGCTTTAGGTTTTCTTTCAAAGCTGCTCATATACGAAATTTTTCTCCAGAGGTTTTTGGTTACAATATGACTTAAGAGGAGGATTTAAGTATTTCATTCCAAGGAATCCTAGTTTTAGGTGACTAGCTGGTAACTAAGTAAGCCATGTAACAATACACATTTCATTTTACCATAGAGCGGTATTTTGTGAAATATCCGTGGACTACTATTTAGGCCAATTTGCAGCCCAATTTTGAGAGCTGATATTTGGTGGATAATCGTGGAGGTCTGACCACTAGCCTGAGCTACAGCTCACCTGATCTCCTATGGCCACCGCTGAAAAGGGTGAAGGAATCAGGACCAATTTGCTCAATGCACGAAGGTCTTACGTGTTAGAAGCTAGGGCTTCCAAGGTTCACTCCAGAAGGTCAAATTCTCTTTACTGCGCCTTTATTTCTGATTTTAATAGCCTAGTTCAGAATTTTGAGCAGTAGAGGCTCCCAGAACAGCAGCAGGCACCACGATGACCCACTGCCTCGTACTGTGCTATCGAGAGAGTTAAAACCTCCCTCCAAAGTTAAATCCATTCCTGTGGTTTACATCCTTCACCCTGCCCTCCCTGACCACAACAGAGTACACACAGGCAGAACTCTGATGTGATTTTAGGTTTTCAAGGGTCAACACCTGACCACCCAAGACTTGTGTAAAAATGCCCCGTATAAAATTCTTTACACATTTGTTTTGAAATTGTGGGAATGGCTGATTTACTCCCAAAGAACGTTTGGAGATTCTCAGAGCTATGCAAGGATCCATAATTATCAACAATTGCTAAGACAGCTTAACCCTTATGTAAAATACGATGCATACAAATGGGTTTATCTGGAACCAGTTCACACTGTTGAACTTGAGTCTGGTACGGGTTTATCCCCAGGCGGTGCTCAATAACAGACAGTAGCAAACACCTTGGCTATAATATGTCTTCCTATTTGGTTGGTTTGTTTTTATATTTTTGCATGTTTAAATAGGCAACGGGAGTGCTAATTAAAATGCAATCATGCAGATAAATTATACCACGTTTCTAAAAGGTAAAATGAAAATCCTTTTGATTTCAAAATACTTGTGATATTCAAGGCAAAAACACAGTGTGATACTGAATACAGAGAAACCTTTCATGATGAGTGCATGTTTAAAACCAAACTTCTTTTTTGTTTTGGGGGTTCTTTTAGATGTAACAAATTAATTATGAGTAATTTCTTATGGGAGTCGAGACTCAGGGTTTCTAATGCAAATGTTCAAGCTGTAGGTCCCTCTGAACAATTTGTACTGTCTGTCTTCTGCCTGTAAAATGGGAAATGTAATGTGTATTTCAAAGCCTACTTTGGTCTAGGAGCAAGGGCAACCCCTAAACCAGTGATCAAGGCTCCCCCAGTGGATTTTCTGTTCCATCTACAGCTTGCCAGCTTTCAGGGGAACCTCACTGCAAGAACCAAAGATAAAAACAATATGCTGATATCCAGCAAACTATTTCATCTCTCTAAGCCTCAGTCTCCTCTCCTGCAAAATGGGCCACAGGAAGGCACTGCTAACTGCTTTTGAGATTAGAGACTGATTTGAGAATCTGATGAAAGCCATTCGCACTGTTCCCAAAACAGCAGGTGTACACATCCCCACAAAACCGTACCCATGCATCCAATGATCCTCTGATGCCTGTCCCTGGACCTCCAGTGAAAAACTCCAGGTCTTTACAGTGTTGAGATTCCACATTCTTCTTCCAAGACCTGTTCTGGGCTCTAACCTGCTCCTTTACTTACTGTTCTCTGCAAAATTAATCTTTCCCCCCAAAAAAATCATATAAAAATTCATCTTTGTTTCAGTATGAGGGTATTTTGCCCTGTATACCATTCACAGTCCTGGATATAACTAGAAACCATGTAAGCAATACAACTAGTTGAGTCTAACTGAAAGCGTCAGATAGCCTGGGAGTTCTTATGCACCCACTCTCTCCTTTTGGAAGGCATGTATTGATACTTTATCCTGGGCCTTCCCTTCAAGGTCACGGTTTCACCGGCAGATTCCCACCGCGGTACATTTGCAGTCCCAGGCTCAGACCTGCTCAGACCCGCTCTCAGCCTGCTCTGGTGCTGCCTGCATGCTGGGTTCTCACGGTTCCAAAGCACACCCTGAATTGTCCTCTCCTCTTTCCAAGTCTGTTCTAGGACAGCATTTCCCCTGGAAAGTATCAGAGAACAATGTGTTCTGTGGCCAAAGGAATCTGGGAAATTCTGCATCTTGGACACTCCCAAAGCATTTTCTCATGTTAAAGGCACTGAGAAGTCTTCATAAAGAAACCAACTTAATTTTGTTGACCCAATATTTTTAAAACTTATGTGATCATAGAATAATTTTTTTCCTATGACATTATTGGAAAATAACACTTAGAGAAGCTCAAAGAGCTGGTTTCTACCACATCCTCAGTCAATGGACTCTCAGTAAGCTTAACCTAGATTCTGTTTACCGGCTTCATTGGTCATTCCTTTCAGCTAAACATCTTTGGTCTTTCCCAACTTTGCTTGCTGGTGTTGTCAGGCCACCTGGGTCTATTCTCTTCCACCAGCAGTTCATAGCCACCCCCCTTTTTGAAACTCACAATGCACATTTGCATATAAAAAGACAGACATCATCCTGTCCAGGAAATGGCTCTCCTTGTCTCTTCTTCAATAGAGACAATGTTTAAATAGAGTCTTAGCAATTTGGAGCTGAGTGGGCTTTAGAGATCCCCCAATCATTCTTCTAACTTTATAAATAAGAGAACAGACCTGAGAGGTTAATTGACTTGAGAGAGATAAGACAGGAGCCTAGATTTTCTGATCCCCAGTCCAGTGGCCCTAGGAAGTGGCTTAAGCTTCCCAGAGGCACATGAGATGGATTCACACCAGAGAGTAAATTTACTAATTTACAATGAGGAGTGACATGTGTCTGGCACAAGACCAGTTATCTAGAGAGAGAGAGATCTACCCAATGAGTAAATTATAGTTGGATGCTTCCTAGATAAGCGTGGGCTTAGAGAATGAAGAGTTAGACTTTTTCTAGGAAATGATGTACTGGAGAGAATACTGGACTGGGAGTTAGGAGGCTGATTCTAATTCTAATTCTCCCACTACGAGATCTTAATGTCACTGGGCTTCAGTTTCATCATTCAATAAATGGTAGGAGATTAGACAATTATCTTTACATCCCGTCTAGCTCCACACTTTAAGATTCTGTGAGTCTAAGTTCTTTCCTTTCAGTTACTCTGCCTTTATATTTTCAGCATCCCTTTTTATATGTTAATACACAAACCCCTAGCCCTTGGTCTGAGTGTCTTTCAATTCACAATCATTCCATTTGGGGAGTGGGTCCTTTTTGTCCTATCATGGGCATTAGATAAATCATCTCAAGATTCTCGAATAAAGGGCTCTTTGAACAAACAAACAAACCAGGTATCCACAGCGGCTGGCAGACCTAGAATAAACATTAACATCCCCCTCTCTTCCTGGAACCGCTGTATTAATGTAGTTCCCCACACTCACCAATATCCATCCATTCTCTTTCTACTGCAAGACCGAGAGCTCCCAGGGAAGGCAAAGCCGCATTGTGAAGTCTAGATGCCTCCGTCTGGTAGTCTCAGCAGCTTCCTGCAACACCAAATCAGTGTCATTAGCTACAGATGATTATGGCAGGGTCCCCTAATTCAAGTCTGTGATAGTGCCTTTAAATCACAACAACTACTAAATTGCTTCACTTATTTAAAGAATGTCCACTGCCCCTGGGGCCTCTGGGCATGGGCACAAAACACTGCTATCAGGAGTCGTCCACGGCGAATCTCAGCAATCAACTAGCTGCTCATCATCACACTTTTACCAGCAACACCAAGTACATCAACAAGGATGAACTATAAGAAACATATGGGGCTTCCCTGGTGGCGCAGTGGTTGAGAGTCCGCCTGCCGATGCAGGGGACACGGGCTCGTGCCCCGGTCCGGGAAGATCCCACATGCCGCGGAGAGGCTGGGCCCGTGAGCCATGGCCGCTGAGCCTGCGCGTCCGGAGCCTGTGCTCCGCAACGGGAGAGGCCACAGCAGTGAGAGGCCCGCGTACCGCAAAAAAAAAAAAAAAAAAAAAGAAACATATGATTCTTGTTCACACTTACATAAAATAATGACAGTGCTGTTAGTAATTAGTTACCAGATCCTCGATTGCTTTGTTCTTTGGCATTAGTAATATGCCACTTGAAGTTTTACACCAAATTAACATTACCCACATTCAACTGCTTCCAACCCCTTGAAAATGTGTAATCCTTCTTCATAAGCAAGACGACGTGCCTGAGAGTAAGATAAGCACTCTGCATTGGTTGCTCCCAGCCTCAAGAGTATGTGGTGTGTGACCCATTTTGGTACAGGACCATACTGTTCTGACACTTAGCAACTGTCCTTAGATATGAAAGATTATTTCACTATGTGAAACTAACTCACCTGTCTATGAAATAAGTTTTTTAACATGTAACTCTGTCAAACTACCAAGCCTAACAGATTAAAGTGAGGGAAAGCAAACTGAATACAACCAAGGCACTTACTCAACTAGGACTCATTTTGCTTCCACCGTCAGCTCGTACACAGAAACATAATGTCAGAGTTTCAGGGATCAGGTTCGTAATCAATGCTGCTAGGTCCCTTAAATTCAGTTTCTATTTTTTCTATTTGTAGAAAGTGAATGACATCTGTTGAGAGCTACACTTCCTATGACGATGAGTAAGGTGGCAACTATATGAACCACTTCCATTTTAAAGGGAAAAAAGTGCTTTTGGAAGAAAGAGGATTAGTGTTGACCAGACAGAATCCCAAAACCAGCACCCAAATTCTGTTCCAAAAACGTGGGCATCTACACTGTCAAGAGAAAAAACTGTCTCTCATTCCACTTGGAGTAACTACCCTCCCTTTGTCTTATAAATGACCCTGTAGACAGTGTTTATATATAATACCTAGAGATTTGTCTGTTTTCCACTGACACTATAAATCAAATGTTTTCAATTGACACTGTAACTAGAAAACTGGATCTAAATCTGCTAACTGGTTAACACAGCCTTATATGATCTGGAGTCTTGAGGCTTCATTTCCAAATCCATCTGAAACTCCCAGATCTTTGACTATCCACTTCCAATTGAAATATGAATGTGTCAGTTAGCTATCTGGCTGAGAGAGCACACGCTGAATCCAGAAACTCCAGATTTTGCCACAGGATTAAATATTTTATATGCTATAAATGCAGATCCTAGAATTATATTTAATCTTTTTCTTTCCTGTATTTGAATTTAATCAAATGCAATGTTGTTCTCGTTGTTGATTAGTTAATGGTGCTGTCTTTCACGTACGGAAGTTCTGATTCATCAGCAGAAAAACATGCTCTTGAGTTTTTCAACTAGTAAAGAGAGATTCTGTTGTTATTACCCACCATTTCACCAAATTCCTCTTGCAACCATATGACTGGTTGGACAAGCCCCTCTGTTAAACTAGAAGAGAGGGTTTGGGTGTTTTTTTTTTCATTAAGTAACATGAAAGAAGTTTAAATTCATGATCTTTCATTCTTAATATCATGGTCTAATAAACAGAACTAACTATCCCAGATATTATAAGAATGTGATCCAACATTTATTGGGGAAATATTACCTTATGTATTTAGTTAATTAATATATTCTAGATTCTAATGTTTTCACTATGTTGCAAGCAGAAAAGAACTATAGGATTGGTAACAAATGTTTTGCTCCTGCAAGTAATTATTTCGCTTAAAACAAAATACTCAACTTTTTTTTCCCCTTCCACAATGTGGATCCTTCAATCCTTTTGGATAAAAGGCTTAGATGATCTGTTGTCTCTAGCCAGAGTGACTGCATATGTTCAATAATATATCAGTTTCATCAGCTGCCACAGAATAGGCACACATGACAATAAATCATTTTGGGAACTTCCTGAATCCCAGCCAAGTTGTAGACAATAAAAGATCCTGCTTGTAAAGGCAGCTATAAAAGTTAATTTCATACAGGTTCCCCAGCACGCATGCTACAGTTCAGTTCCAAACAGATGTGGTCTTGGAATAGCAATGGAAAATGGCATGAAGCATTTCTGCTAACTTTCCGTATCAGGAGATTCAAATATTTGGTGTTTTGTGTAACCTTCGGTCATTAACACATTGCAGCAGGTATGAAAAATGAATTCTTCAAGCTTTTCTAATGTTGTTTCCAGTCTGAACTATTCCTCCACATTGGAAAGATTATCCATCAAGCCAGACATGCAGAGACTGAGAAAATCCACCCAGAAAAATAACAAAGACAACAGCAGACATTTGGGGCTACTTTCGGAAAGAATCTCTTGAAACAAGAACTTTTATTTATGTCCTTATTTGCTTTTGCCTGTAGATGCCCTGGCAGATCGCTGCAGAGACAGCTAGCTACTCCACTCAGCCACGGAGTTAACACGAAGAAGAGACATGAAGGAAAGGAAAAGGCTGAACTAGACAACGGACGCCCAATTACATGAACTGACTGAAAATGTCCCTCCTGTCAAACATTGCACTTGGTCCTTGCTCTTAACTATGGCCACTGTGAACGCTTGCTTTCCCTACCCCTGCCGAGGACCACTGCTCAGCCTTGTTCATTCCTAAGGTTCCCCATGATACGAGACTAAAATCATGTTTCTCCCAGTTTCAAACAATAGTTCGAATGCTGGGAAGTTGCACGTTTGTCTGAATATTTATAATTTGATCCATTCTCTATTCAGGTCTCAGTAGCAGAGCTCCCTATTAAGAGTTCTCTGGAATTGTCTTGCAACAATAATGATCAATCCTTTGGTTTATCTTTTGCTGGAAAGGGGATTTTCAAAATGTCAAAAAGATATACCCTCTCTACAAAAGCCCTGCTGAGCTTGAGAGTATAGAGTACACCTGGAGTCAGAGAAATTGTAGAACAATTAAGTGCTGAGGGCTGAATGAGGGTGTCATTAACATATTAATCATACACCTGAAATTAATTAAGGCCGACCAAGGGATTAAGGTGCTCCAGGCCAAAAAGAAAAAGAAAAAAAATGGATTGACGATGTTATATAGCAGATAGTTATATAATCACATCTTATGGCAGCAGATTGCTTTAAAATTACAAATGACACTTTCCATCCATTGGCTCATATGAACATCAGGCCAACCTCATAAATTTGCGAGGGATTCTTATTTTGCGGGTTTGAGGAAACAAGCTCAGTGACATTAGGTGACAATCCCAAAAAGAACAAAGGAGACAAAGGCCACAATCCCAGGGTCATGGTCTTGAAAGGGCAGTAGACTAGGAGTTCTACCATGGCTCCAGGGGTACCACACACACTGCGCTCTGGGACTGTGCTCCACGGAAGGCACAAATTCCTGTAACAGCTCAGCCACTGACCAATGACTTTGGCAAGTCACTTTAACTCTCGGGCCTTTTCTCATCTTTAAAAGTGAGGAGGGTGAAGTAGAAAAGGAACCCTAAGTTCCCTTCAGAGCCGACCTTCTACACGCGTCCTCCGGGGGGAGGTGGCAGAGATGAACTGTTATTGGCAAGAGGCACTAGGAACCACGCTTTGTGGGCCTTGGGTTAATGGTACCCCTGCCCCTCTGCCATGTTTTATCACAAGTACTTTGCATTTTCAAGTACTAGATACGACTATGTCAAACCATGGGTGGGGTGGCCTCAAGGCCAGAGGATATTATTCGTTCTTGTACCAGAGTGAGAGACAGAGCAGAAGCCAATGCAGCAAGTCAGGAAGCAGAGAGGCAAAAACAGGTCAGTCTCACTAGCCCCTGTGCAACTTTCAGTTGGTTTCACCTGGGGTTGGTTCTCAGTTTAGTGGTTGGTTTTCTTGGAACTAATAGCAAACGGTTTGTTTCAACAAGCAGGGGAGAAACCAAATACCTGGACCGTGACTAGCCTGACCCTAGGCCGACTGTGGTGTCTCTCTCCAGAGTCAAACAACCTCCGCTTTCCACCAGTGGCGCTGCTGCCACAAGCAAGAATGGATCTCACACCCAGTCCTATCTCTAGTATCCTCCTCTTTCTCTCCCATTTTGCAACTTAGAACACAGCAGGTCTTCACTGGCAGGCTACCAGTGGAGTATTCAAGGTCCCAACTGTTTAAACTGTAATCTGTGGCATTGAACAGAAGTAGGACTGGCTTGATGTCCAGACTCCACAATGAGAACGATGCCTTCATTCAGCAATCCCATGAAAACCATAGTCCTGCGTCTATAATACCTAGAACATCAATAGCTTGTAGAAATTATTCTCTATCATCGTCTGTTGTCATCAGAACATACCCATTTACAAGATAATAGAGGTGATTTTGTTTTATTTTACTTAATGGGTCAGCTCTCTGGAAAAAAACTGGTATTCTATACGGTAATAAATAGTACTTTAATGTCATAAAGAGTCCTTATCTGGCACCCAGGGCATAGCCTGCTACCTGGCAAGATACGGATCATTGGTTTTCAGTCCATATTACTTCCTAGAAGGTGTGGGCTGCAAAGGAACTCTTCTTTCTATATTCCAGTGTTTGAGTAAGTCTCGTTTAGCCAACAGAATGTCCTAAACCAAGACCAGGTGGTTTTAAACAATCTTTGCC